TCGATAGCACTACCCTGGGCCTAGGCTGTCTGCACGGCTTGCAGCACCAGGGCTTGCTGAACAGGGTCCGCTACCTCAGCATGATCTCCGGTAAGTTGCAGTTGCTGGCTAATGTTCCTGCTCCATACAGGGACTCAGCATCACACACATGCACATTGTATCCCTGCTCATCTCATGTAACAGTGTGCGTGTTGAATGCAGTCGGCCAAGTGGCTGGTTTGACTAGCTAGGTAGCTGGCTGTCTACCTACTTGACTAAGTAGGCCTGGTAGGCGATCAACATAGGCACATGCACAGTTCTTGTTTCAAATATATATCATCCAGGCCGGGGTTCACCTGGAAGTGAGGGTACGTGTGGGACAGGTGAAGAGATGACGTAATGCTTGCTTGTTGGCCTGGAAGGAGATGTATGTGTATACATGTGTGTGTGTGTCTGTTGCATCTCGGTTGCATTACTCAGAGAGGTGTAACGAGCCCACCAAACAAGCCAGGTAGGGGCACGCCATTCACGGCGAGACGCCACATGGTCTCCTTGTTCTCATTCTCCCAGCGCACCCCATGCCATAAGCGTGCCAGGGTTGCCTGAAAGCGACTAACCTCGAGCAGCAGGGTAGTCACGCCTACCTCCCGTTTGGCCCACCGGTCTCAATCCACAATCGTACAACCACTGATTAACTGAATCCCCACTAAGACTCCGAACCAGATTTGATGGGACATGGTTGGCGTGCCCCGGAAGGCCACAGGCCACCCATACATGTCAGTAACAGGGGGCGGTGTTGGCTAGGCTAAATGGGTCTAAATGGGTCGGAATGAAGGTGTCGCATTGTAGCCCATCCTCGGACATTATGAAATGCTTTTTCCCATACTCTTAGTGTTTACAGCACCAGTCAACAGCAGCTGCATGCCCTCGTTGTGGGTTTCCCTACCCTTACGCCTACTCCACCACGAAATAGCATGTCAGTCAGCACCACCAGCAGCCGCTGCTGGATGCCGCCTCCACCACAACTGGGCACCGCCACTCCTGAGCCCAACCTGCCACTCCGCTGCACGCACTCTCAGTTGAACCTACCCACCCACACAACCAGCCAGGCGACCAGAGTATGCCGCGGTCAGGTCAACAGACACACACAGCAGCCCTGCCTCCCATCCTGGCGACAGGCTAGCTTGCTCTGGCCACCCATCACCACACCGGGTACATTGTCAGCTGGACACTGTATGCTCAGGTGGCTGCTCCTGCAGCCCCCAAGGTCGCCGACAGGTCCGACAGGATGCTGCATATGACTGCACTGGGCACCAGGATGGCTTTGTTTGTACGAGTGTCAGACCCGACCACCATGGCCACAAGCTTGCCGGTGTCGACCGAGAAGCAGCCGCCACCTGAATCACCGGCACCCGCAACAATATCACCGCGGATGTGGCTGTGCGCATCCAGCTCGGTCGCCGCCACCATGCCGTGGCTGATGGATGTGGCGTCCGCTTGTGCCTGCGTGGACTGGCCGTGGACGTAGTACTTGTCGCCAGCCGAGACACCACAGTCCAGCACCGGGGGCACCAGCTTGCGCTGCACCTGAAGGTCAATACCAGTGAAGTAACATCACAGGCGGTTGACTATGTTGCGAATTGTGAGTGCTTTAATGCTCCAGCTTGAGCTTGCATGGACCTTGACTTGTGGGAATCTAGGCAAGGAAAGGGCTTGGGGAGGAAA